CGATGGAATACAGGATAATATATTAAGAAAATTGTAATAAGCTAAATGTCCCAATGGCTGGATATGTCTCAAATCTCTGAAAATATATGAACAAAATAATTTTTTAATATTCATAAATATAATGTCCGGAAACTGTGGTAAATTTACATATCCAATTATTTTTGCAAATATTTAATATCGTCGTTTAATAAATGCAAATTTTGGTTTTAAATTTCCGCGAAGTAAATTTTAATCTTTATTATATAATATTAAAAATATTAGTTTTATAGAAAACATCACATCTTTCATAATAATTAATTCTTAAATATATTGCCACTGGAACATTTCTCTTAAATATTGTAAACTTGTAAAAATCTTTTTCTCATTAGTACAAAATATTGTATTAATATATTGTATATTATATTGTATATTATATATTATATTATATAATTGTATATTGTATTACATATATATGTATGTATATCACATTATTGCATCTATATGCAGCATTGTTGTATATATTTCTTCTTCATTTTATATGTTTTCTGAATTTAATATTATTTATTGTATACTATTATTATATTGTATTTGGTTTTATTAAAATCTTTTCTCGACAAACAATGTATTTTCACAACATTCTTTAAATTCTCTTTCCATTGAATGAAAGAAAATGAACACGGACATGAACCAACCAGGGCTTTTTTACCATCCCGGAAAATGGATGTGGCCATGTAGTTCCAGGCAGGCTGTAAAATGGATGTACGCGCCGCTAGTGTACAGCCTAAAAAAAGCGTCTTACGAAAAACAGCAGCGTGGCCACTTTCAGGTTTCTCTCTGGTAATATCGAATGTTGGTAATAGTGTTTCAAAGCGCGCGTACCGGTGTATTTATTTGTTAGAAGTTAATCTTTTTGTAACATTTTCAATTTTACATAGAAATTTCTTATCTAATATTGACGTTCTGTGACAAGTAAAAAATGGAATCGTTAAATGAAACTAAGGAAAATCTCGACCAATCTATTCGTTTGCAAAACAGTCAGCGAAAATCGTTTTTAAGGTTAAGTGGAAGAAGTAATACTCCCAAGAGGATATCATTGCAAGCCGGTCAATTACGAAAAGATGCCGATGACGGTAGGCAACTCAACGATACGCATAGCCCGAGAATTGCTGACAAGTCGTATTTCCTGGGATCTGGAGTTATAACAGACAACATGAATATTGATAGTTCGTTGACTCTTGCACCTCATGAGATTCGCGATATAATGATGCGCTCTGAGAAGAATGATATTACCATTAGGGAGATGATGGAAGATAGCACAGCAACTGGAGCAATTTTGAAAGCGAACGAGCCGTGGCGAGAGGCCAAAGCAAAACTCTATTATGATTTCTCACAGAGCATGCAGATGCACTTCTTTAAAGCACAGCTCTTTGACATTATCGCAGATTTCATACAGCATTGTACCGATACATTGGATATAATGAGAGGTACTAGATAATACTAAGAACCCTAAATATATGTTTTGTGTCATTATATTATTAAAATATTACAGCAAATATTAATATTACATGTCAGTTAAATATTATTGTATTTATTTCAACAGGCATGCAATCAAAGGTTGAAAATACAGATATAGCAGAAGATGAAATTTCTTTAGAGAGTGAGAGAAACACATGGAGACTGATATATTGTCTTTATCAAAACCGTATAACTAATGCTAACACACCTACTCAAATGGAACACGACGGATATGTCAATAATTACATCTCTGAAAAAGATGTTATAGAAAATTTTTATAAGTCTGAAAACTATATCAGGGAATATCAGTTGATTATTGATTGGTTAGAAAAGAATGCTCTGGATCAGGCAAACAAACATCCATCTATAGAGCTTTTCACTGACAAAACAGTAGCTTGGGAAAATACAATCCATCAATTGCAGAATCCACACTTAGGAATTGCATTTACTTCATCCAGACCATTAGTATCATCTCTTGATCCTGATGCACCGATACGAGAGGGTAAACCATTGCACGATCTAGATAGAGAAGATGATGCCAGACTTGAAAAAAGAATGTTTATAGAGGTATGTATAGACTACATATTTGCTTTTAATTAAAATTGCTCTAATTTATATAAATTGTTCATAAATGTAAGATAAACGTAATTTAAAAGAAAATAAAATAGAATTGTATCATATTTTAAGAAGATTTTTCTCTATCAAAGGTACGTTGTGGACGTCTTCAGAAAGCGCAAGCATTAGCTATACATTGTGGTCAATTTTGGAGAGCTGCGGGCTTATTAGGATGGATTCCTCATCATGATCCAAATTATAATAATCCATTAACAGACACTAAATTACCAATTGAAGGAAATCCTAACAGGAGTCTTTGGAAGTTATGTGCTTGGGAATTATCTCAAGATAAACGCATAGGTAAATATTTCATTAACAAATTATTTCATAGAATATTTTGTTTTTTATAACATCTTTTTCAGAGATGTAGTTATTGATATATCCGTCGTGTTCCATTTGAGTAGGTGTGTTAGCATTAGTTATACGGTTTTGATAAAGACAATATATCAGTCTCCATGTGTTTCTCTCACTCTCTAAAGAAATTTCATCTTCTGCTATATCTGTATTTTCAACTTTTAATTGCAAAATTATTTTTAAATCTTCTAAGGAAATTATTAAGATCTATAATCAACACTAATTTTTCTCAGGAAACATTTATTTTTTGTACTTATTTATATGATTATAATTTATGTATTGTATTTGTAAATGATATGAATATTTTCCAGGTGTATTTTATCGTGCCATATATGCAAGTCTTTGTGGCAATGTCCAACAACTACTACAAACAGCAGTATCTTGGCAAGACGCATTATGGGCATATGTGAAAACCCTTTTAGACATTAAAGTTGAATCGGCATTGTTAACGATGGCAAAAGTTTATACAAATATGCCAGAAGAATATTGGAAGAATGAAATCACATTGGAAGATGCGTTTAAAGAGCTGCATGCGTCAAAAAATCCAAAAATACGTGCCCAATCTAACAATCCTGATCAATTAATACAAAAATATATAATATTAGATCAGATACCAAAGTTAATGGAAGAGATTGACAGTATGCTAGATAGTGGAAGCTGTGACTCTCAATTTCTCAGGTTTCTGGCACATCTGATATTATTTTTCAGACAAATCGGGAAAAGTACAAAAGATAAAGTAGAAGACAAAATATTGTTGGCCTATGTTCGGGTTCTAATTCAAATGGGCGATCCAACTTTAATTGCATTTTATACGGCTACGCTGCCTCAGGAGGACCAAATAACGAACTACGCCTCTTATTTAGAGAATGTTACAGAACACGAACAACGTAAGAAGTCTTTACGTGCAGCGGAAGATGCAAACTTGAATGTAGAAGCTATTACAAAATTAGTAGTGGAGAATATACGCAAGAAAAATATAGGAATTGATCGATCAGATCTAAAAGGAACCATCACCGATGCAGATATGGAAAAGATCGATGCATTGGACTGGCTGATCTTCTATCAAAGTCAGAGAGAGGAAGCTTTATGGCAAACAAACGCACTTATCAGATACTTTTTAACTAATGAAAAGGTTGACGCGGCACGGAAAGCATTTAATAAGGTACGGATTAAATGGTTAACTGCTATAGCTATTATATTGACACATTTAAGAATTTTAGCACAATTTATATGCGAGTTCTATGATGAATTGCTTTTACCAATATATAATTAAACGGTAATTGTTCTCACATGTTTTATAGATCCCGACAGATTCAATTGAATCGGTCATGACTGAGTATCCAAGTATAGAATGCACACTTACGAATCTTACGATATCTAACAATTTATCCAGAAAACCAGCTGCTTCGATAAAGGAATATCTTTGTTATAAGACGTATCTTGATGCTCAAGAGGGTTTTAGCGAATGGTTCTCTCATTATCATCATGGCAAACCTACCCCTCCGGAAGAATTGCGAACGTACGCTACGTTTACCGAAAAGGTTGCGCACGATCACAGAAAGACACAGTACAATTCCGAATTCAAAAGATGGAAAGACACGATGCAGCATCACACGGAGGTACGCGAGAAACACGAGGGTGAAATATAACAAACGAACGCAAATATAAAATTGTACTCTTTTCAGGCGGTAAAACAGTTGTTATTTAATGTTTTACTGTTCCCCGACGGCGGTTGGCTCGTCGATTCGAAAACTGCAAATAACGAGGAGAACGAGGAGTCGTCTACGCCCGAGGATGAGCTTAGGGAACATCAATTGGAAAAGTTACGCGAACTTTGCATTCCTAAGATCACACTTCTACTACATTCGGTCATGTCCGAAATGAACGAGCATGCTGACAGCATTCAACTAGCTGACATACTTGCCTCCGAGCAACATCAGTTGTACAAAGCACGTATTGATAGCAGAATAACTGTGATGAATATTTAAATATGAATTTCACGGAAATGTGTATTAATATATGTATCCACTTATTTGTGCAGGTATTTTCGAAGGAACGATTACGCGAAGTATTCAAAAAGATCTGCGAATCTTCTCTTGTTCTGATGGATCAAAAGAAAGATCCTTGGGGATATTCTAAATAAAGTGTAACTATGTAATATATAAATCTGTATGTATGTACAGTGCTGTTTATATTGTCTGTATTCCTGACATTTTTCTTTTTTTTTTATAAAACCAGTTTATTGTCAACCACAAGAAGTGAATATAAAATTTGATACAATGTTCAATATAATTCATAATCATAATATATCATATACCTTGTGATTACTTAGATATGCTCCTTTCACCCAATTGTTAATAAATGTAGCGCTATTAAAGCCATTAAGATTAATGTGTGAAATATGACCAAACTCATAATAGATAAAAAGAACATCCTGAGACACATCTCGCAGGGACACTTAGAATTCGATGACAGTTAATAGACACTTCTAATCTCAATTCGAATCGCATATAATACCGGATATAGATTTGCGTGCGCAAATTAACAAGTACACGTTCGTACGGAATACAATAACACCAAAATAAAGCAATGCATTCCGTACAAATCTAAATGAATGTCATACGTTAAAGGATCGTAATGATATGTGGTTTATTGTATATTTATTCTATTGTCAAAGAGAGTGATATTTTTTGTCGACGAGAGCAGTCTTGATTTCACAAAACTTTGCCTTTCCATAATCACATAACGTGATTTTGATACGTGCGCCTTCCAATTAACGTTACAACCTAGATAGCAAAATATTAGCAATGTTAGTTGTTTAGCAAATTTGATGTTAATTCGTGATCAAATTTATTGTTCACATTATTATCTATCAACATTGCTAACATTTTGCTTACTGGTAAGTCGATTAGAATACACGATATATCACGTATAGACTATATAAAGAAAATTAACATTTGACAAAGTGTCTTCTATTTAAACAATCGAAATTTTACGACGCTCGCATGCTCCGTCAGTTTTTTATCATATGTATTTCTTTATCATATGCATTTTTTTATCATCGATGCATGTCAAATTACAATTTAAACGATAAGGATTGACTTCTTATTAAGTACTTTTTACGTTCGTGAAGTAATGTAATTGATGCGCACGGACATATTATTAACATTTTAGGTAAAATTACTTCAAGACGAATAAAAAAATATAGATACTATTTAAAACAACTTTCTCTAACACGTATGATTAAATCATCGTGAGTTTATCTTAATTGGTGAGATGAAGCTGTTTAATTGCCTAAGAAAAATTCTAATCATGCTGAAAAATAACAAGATTTTTGGAAAGATACATCAAATTGTATATCACAAACAACAGCAAGTTTAAAGGACGTCTAAAAAACTTTTAAGCTTCAACGTTTTAAATAGATTTCTTTGTGGACGCTTTCACATACTTTTTTTGCTTTTTATTTGTGTTGTTTGCATTAAATGGATAGACTCGATGATATCTGTTTGTTCACTCAGCAAGATTACCATTGTCCACCTTTCAGCACTTATCATCTAATGTAAAGTCCCCGCGGTGAAAAAAGGATGTCATGACATGTAACGTCAGAAGCGCGTTTCAACAATCGCTTGTTACTGAATTTAAACTCCTACTACGCAGATACATGAGAGTAAAGTCGCACGTGGGCTTACAACAGATTGTGCATTCACTCGAAACAGGAGATCATGTGTATCTTGTTCATTCGATAGAGTCTGCAATAACGATTAGACAATTAGTGGAGTTAATTGTTAGTTAAGCTAGCCTAACACGTAAACGTTGAAGAGAAACAAAAGGGTTGACAATTTGAAAGTTCTTCGGATACAATTCGCGTAAGACGATCAATTTCATTCATCGACTAATCCTTTATTCGCTACCAGAGATGTTCTAATCGCTAATACGAATGCGCTTTTCGTGTGCGGAACGATATACCTAAAAAATCCTTAAAGATGAGCGTCCTGCCTATCAGACTTTTCCAATGGAATTATTTTCGTGAAATTCTTTCATTCTTTCTAAAGACCGGATACATCAACATCTATTTGCATGATTAAACTCTCAATTTCTTTTCTATTATTGATAAGACCTCACCTTGAAGAGAAACAGCAAGCGATTAAACTAGATTTCATAGGATCAAAGTGCCAGGTAAAACATAGATTAATTTGCTTCAAATAATAACGAAAGAGATACATTAAACAAATGCATTGAAAAATATCAATTTCTTGCGTACATATATTCTTCTAAAAAATTATCAAAAATACTTCAAAAGTTATTTTTTTAATTTTAATATCATAAAATTAATTCTTGATTTCTTTCAACGATAAGAAAATATTTAGAATTCAATAAATTCGACATCTTTTGATAATCCTCTTTAATTAATTAACTAATTTGGGATGCAAGGCTTCATATTTTTCTAGATAATATAGATATAAAGAATAGAAAAGATTACATCGCTAATGTTGTTGTAACCGTTCTGAAATTGTCACTCCATATTCCACAAAAGCTTCTTTTGTGGAATGCGATATTCGCATAAATATTGAGCGCAATATGATTCGACTTCGTCGTTCCGTACATGTTAACACAGCACCTCATTTCTCGCTTAATACAAACTTTAAAATAATTACCGCAAACTCTTATAACTATCTATTCTTATTAGAGTAATTACAAGATCGTTCGTATTTAAGTGATCCATTTTACAATGTATTGTCTGAAATATCAGTTTGCGCGTGTACAAAGCTAGTTGTCAAATTTCAAAACGTATGTAATAATTGCGCGAAAGGGAGAAGCAAAGCAAAAATGAATGAGAAGTCTTTGCAATATCGCGCATTATTTTTGTACGTATTGAATGCTAAAGCTAAATAAATGCCGATATAAAAATGGATAATTCTCTCTGCCGATGCAAAATTATAATTGATTCTTGTCGGTCTTCAAAATACTTCAAAATTTACGGCAGAATTTTAAACGGAAATACAGCGTTGCAAAAATTTCCGGGCAATTATTAATCCAAATATCGATGCCTTTAATAAGTCGACGTTATTACAAAATAATTACAGTATACTTTCGTAAGATCGCGACATATATATATATTGCTCAAAATGTTTCCACGCGTAAATAGAGACTTCGAAAAACGTATGAAATCTAGAAAGGTAAAACGGTTAAAACGCAACGGAAAATTTGCTAAAGACAACCTTCCAAAATTTTGTTTGTAAAACCTATCGTTAGCTATAATTATCATTCGCTAATTGTCACCGGCACCCGCACTGCTTATGGAAAATCGCGTAAACGTTCAGTAATCCATAATATGATAATGCGAGATAAGCTTTATTCTATCGCACCGCACTTTTGTCGCTCCACATGTCTTATATAGTAAATCGTGTATGGATGGAAGCTTACAAGTAGACCATGTGTGTTTTAGTATGTTAATTCAAAGATAGGATCTAGAGTTGTAAATATTACGCGCTAAATACCGCTAACAATTCGAAATCACGTTTGAAACTGTACAACATTGATGATGTATAACCAATCATGTACTATGCCGAATGACTAATATTTTGAATTTAGTCTCCAGAAGCACTTTTGCAAATACATTCCTTTAACCCTCTTTTTTACGCATTAATGTACAGTAATATAGCCGAGAAATTTCCTTAGGACCTAAGCTATTATTTGTCCTTATTAACTAACAACTTGGGACGTTATCGGGCTGCTCCTGGAAAAATGGTAATGCGCGTCGATGAATTCAAGAAATCGCGTAAGTCAAACACAATCGCGAACAGGTAAAACTCTCTTTCGGGCAATTAAATAAAACTTGGTTCTTATAAACGCGTAAGAGTAAAAATATTAACTCTTTACTACTTCACGTAAATTTGTAGAATTAACTTCAGACAAGAGACAATTTCAAAAAAAGATGTATAAGAAAGTTTTAGAGGCGACTTGAGCTTAAAGATTATTCAATGTTTCGACTTAACTTTATCAATTATTGAAATTTTAATAAAAATTTTATTTGTACTCGCACGCACTACGAATGATATATTAATCTATATATGTATATATTATTGTCTATACATTATCTGTACATGTGTATCATGCGAAATGGAACATTTCATCTAAGTGACTTACGAATTATGCTTTATTGCAGAATAATACACAGTTTGTAATTTGTCTCGTACATTTATATATACGAGTGATTGATCCGTACACATGTAATTTATTATTTGAATTTATGAGTTTTGATTACGATTTAAAAAAAAAAAAGATCTTTTCTGGGAGCAGCCCGTTTCTATTATAAATCCTGCAAGTTGATAATTTATTATTGTCATTCACAGAAGTAGGAGTTTCATCCGCTTACAAACTAGAATCTGTTACTTTCGAACGATTTTCTTAGAAAAAACGAACGAATGAAAAATATAGCAATAGCCTACGTCTCGAGCCAAGATCTCTTTATTGATCGGGATTGCTCTCGAGTATTGTCATATCGAAAATTCAGCGACACAAACATCAATTAAATGTTTTTATTGTCATTTATTCAGTTATGTCGCGGGCTCTTTATAAATACAGTTCTTTTATAAGACACTTATCCTTTTTATAAAAAGCCATTCTATAAAAATTCGGCGCTTCATAAAAAGGCCCTAATTTTATAAAACGGCTGAATTTCTAAAGAGCCTACTAACACGGTAATTAATACCGTCCTTTAACGGCCTTAAACTTTCACGTCTCGCCCTTCATACAGCTAGATAATGTAAGTTTCAGAGTTCTGTTCTGTATACGTATAATACTCGTGAATATGCGCATGTAATTAAATACAGACTGGTCTTCGTGCGATAAGCAGTTGGATCGCAAAAAATTTTCTGCTGTAAATTTTGTGGACACCCCGGCACTTAGGAGCTGGACATACATTTAAAACTTGACATTACGAGAAACGTTACACTAAATTCACTATTCTAAATTGATTATGTATTCCGATGATTTCTCTTGGCTGCATATCTTATACATCCCTTGCACGTTATGCAGTATACGGTTTTATTTATGAGTATCTGCCACATATCGTTTTTTCGATCATTTTCTCGTGATTCAAAATTTTCCCTTTCTTTTACCACACTCTGCGAGAAATTATTTTCACGACTCGCAACGTTCACAAAAACACATAACGATGATGTCAATATAAAAAACAACATTAAAATGATCTCATGACTAGATCAAATGAAGTAGCTGGCTTTAGAAAGCAATTGTTATTGTCGGCTTTTCCAAGCATGTTTTGATAGTTGAAGATTTTCTCTCGATTTAATGGGACGCGACAACAGTCCTTCCGACTATACTGACATTCGATCGTTATATTCTGTGTAACATTATTATATTTATTATATATTGTGTAACAATTATATATTATTCTAAATAAAATTCGCCAGTATTAAACATTTCAAGGAAGAATTTAAAATCGTTTCTTTTGCGATGTTTCCTGCATATTAAATCGTAGCTTTAACTCATGCGATACGCTTCACGCACAAGAGACCAGTTCCAAAGTACTATATGGTGTCCTTTCGCCGAGTGGGTCCTAATTCTTGTAATTAAAGACATTTATCATTTGTACCCAAGGCACATTTTTTAACTTTCATTCCGTTTTAGGAAGGTCCACTCTATAGTATATACATGTTATAGCATTGTTACACGTACAGAGGATAATTTGTAACTTGCATCACCCTTAAGTATTACTTTTTCTTTACTTTCTTGTACATAATTCACATTTCGTTAGCCCTCTTTCGTTTACTACTCTACGTATTATTGTCAAGTCGACAGCATTTATAAATGTATTTCTTATGTACTATTCTTGATTTAAAGTTATGTTAAGATCGACTATAGCTTTGTGCAAAATTTACATTGTACATGTACCGCTGATGCAACATCGCTGATCCCCCATCGCGAATTTAAATATATATGTAGTTATACGTGGATCAGCCTTCCTGAATACAAAGTTGGCATATTCCTCTTCTAATAACAAATGTTCGTTTATTATTGTCAGAATTTTACTGGGTTTTCAGTCCTGACTGTGTAAATTATTGTCAGATTTACTTTGGTTACCCCATCCTGATCACAATTATTGTCAGAATTTTATTGGCTATCCAATTCTGATTATTATTGTCAATTTGATTTTATATCGTCAAAGAATATTGAAATTTCGCGTTCCTGTGTACATGTTCATACATGTATACGTGTGTTATGTATGTATATGTGTATCTGTATGTGTATATGTATATATATATAAT